ATATATTTAAGTGCGTNTACTTTCGATTCTCTCATTGTCGTATAGACACATGATATTATCATAATGTAGGTAACTAAGAAGATTTTGATCACCTTACTGATGCTGATAATCGTATCAAGTTTTACAACGATACTCTTTCCGCTTGAAGATCTTGTCTTCTCAAAGCACAAATAGCTAAGGAAGAAGACAAAAGATGTCAAATAAATAAAGGGAAAAAAAGATTTTTAAGCTTTCTAACTGAATACAACATGGATTCCCTAGCCGGGAGTTAAAATATTTTACGCATTTCCTGTGTCTCATATCAAGACGCATTCCCAAATGTGTTCACGTTCTTCATTATCTCAACCTGCTTACTTGAATTTGTTACATAAAAGGGAAAGAGATATTAGAGTTCATCACTCACGATCATGTGACGATCCCACGAAATTCACACATTTAACCCCTGCGAGTAATAGCTACAAATTCAGTTTTTATACAAGAACTATACCCGAGTAGAACTCACTTCCTGCTGGAGTGATAGACCAACCGAGTGTTGAGGCGTTTAGGACCAGTCTCGTTTCTTTTTTTTTATCTCAATAGTGATTTAGTTACATTTATTTCCTATCTATTTATTTCTCTTTTACATCTGCGGTGATGGGTAAATCCTTTGCAGATTACAGATATAGTTAGATGTACAAGGTGGAGGAAAGTATGCCTGACAAGCCCGCAGAGTATCTGCGTAGAAGGCTGCCCTATCTCTAGGCTCCAACGCAGATGCTCTTTGGCCTCGTCACGCGGAGAAAGTTGTGTGACGAGCCGGCAGAGTATCTGCGTAAAAGGCTGCCCTATCTCTAGCCTCCAACGCAGATGCTCTTTGGGCTCGCCAAGGGGAGAAAGATTGCGTGACGAGTTCAAAGAACGTCTGCTTAGAAGGCCACCCTAACTCCGACCGAACCGTAAAGAAAAACTGGTTACCTCTGGGTCAAAAACAGTCGTCCGTGTTTGACGTTGGAGAGCGGTTTCTCTTTATCCATTAAAGCACATCTTTTGCCGTCTTCCCATCCTGAAAAGAAAAGAAAGGACAATATTATATTGTATTTACAACCACCTATCAGAGACGCTACACGGATCTTTGAATAACTACGTCATCAGAATGGACGAGTATCACGTGACCTTACGTCTCTCTAAACACTATTCTCGACCTCAGGGTTCGCGCTTCTTTTGGTTAGTAGCAAGAATCGCGATTCTCGACGTTGACCGTAGCGTTGCCCTGGGAACAAGAATTTCTTAACGAGGATACCATGCACATATATTCACCTGGTAAAATGGTTTCACTTGATGGTAATTTGAATTTATCGGCCACGTGGTTTGAGGTACTGTTTCCGTGCTGCTCTGATGAACTGGAACTTGGTGAAGATAAAGAACTCGCTGAGGAGGCGCGTACAAGCATCTGAAAAGTGTTGATCATGTATTACACGATTTGTAACTGGTAGTTCACATGTAAAAATTACGGTAATTCTTGGCGAACCTAGCCTGCATAAATTACAATATTTAGAGAGGAAGCCACATCAGCATGTAGAGTAAGCGTTCCCGCGCGCAAATTGGCACGAGAGCTTCGTCGATTTTCTTTTGCTCTCGCTCCAATTTGCGCGTGGCCAGAAGGCAGAAAAAACTCTTAGTACGGAACGCTTATTACGAAGGCTATGGCGAACCAAAATATAGTGACGGCTTTAATTTTTGATTATCTTTAGTACCTCTTGATTGGTCTCCGCTGCCGTTTGTCTGGCTGACAGTTCTGCATCTGTGGGGAGTTCTTTCCATAATTTCGCGGTACCGTCGTATCTCATCTTGACCTATTTTAAAATGAGTAAGAAAAGAGTAGTGGACTTAATAAACTTGGAATAACAAGGGCATTCAATTGCAAGTGAGCCATGCATACATGTACAACTTGAGGGTGAACTTACTGTCTAGTCAGTGGAAAATGAAACAACTGTGCCAATGGCACGGTAAACCTCGTTCCCAGGGACTCTCTTCTTCCCAACCCCTTGGAGAGAGCCGGGAAGAAGAGAGACCTTGGGAACAAGGTTGTGGCAAGGTTCCAGAGTGGTAGGGTAGGGATATATAAACAATAGCCTCCATTTGACGCGAAAGTATGCTCGGATGTTTGTCCGCGGACATTATCTGTTCCGAGAAGCGAACAGTTTTCCGAGAGCGTAGCTCAGGGAAAACTGCGAGCTTTGAGGAACAGATAATGTCCAAGTACAAATATCCAAGCATATTTCCGCGTCAAATGGAGGCTATTGTGTTTATTGTCCTTCCAATACTTTTTGCAACATGCCCGGTTTTGAAAATTGGGGAACATCACTCGGACATTTCCCAGTTTAGACTACGAGTAGTCCCTCTTTCGCTTAGTCCGTCGTGGGTGACGCGAAAGAAAAGCGACCGCGAAATCCTGGGGGCGAGAAGCTCCTCGCATCCAGGATTTCGCGCGGCTATTTTTTCCTCCAGCTTTTCTTTCGCGTCACGCACGACGGACTAAGCGAAAGAGGGACTACTCGTAGTCTGTTCCCAGGTTTACACGGAAATATTCAGTCACGTGACGCGTTCAAACCAATCGCGCGCTGGCGAAAATATTTGATGGATTATAATAAATGTTATCATACCTGTCAATGTGTGATTGGAAAAAGAAATGTTACCTTTGGAAAGCGATGATAGATTGGATTGACAATAAACAACTTAATTCCCAGAAACAGGCCTGTTGAGATAAAGAAATTAATAATATTATAGAATGACTGCAAACTATAACTCTCTCTAGTCTGTCCACAAACCCTGTAATTTGTCTTGAGTTCGTTGAGATCGCAAGCTTTGGAAAATATTATAAACCTGGCGCGTGCGATATGAACGAGTCAAAACGCAAGGGAGTTGGGCTTGGGAAAAGACACAAAAGAAAATCGCAGAAAAAAACCTGCGTCTATGGACAGCCTGTAAAGAAACAGTCTTGAAGTTGCAACATATCCTAAACAAGCTGGGTGACCAAGACATCAATATCCTAACAGAAGAAATTCTCTGATGAGGATGGAGATTGCTGGATCAGCTACTACATGTAGCATCACCCGGACAGTCCTCCGGTGGAATCCACAGGGTCAACAAATACCTAGCGATGGGATCTTCAAAAGGATATCAAGATGATCGGGTATACTTGGACACACCTAGACAGGCTGGCTCAGGACAATGGAAGCTGGATAGGGAATCCTCCAATACCCAGTTGTGACAGTTGTTCTAAGGATAGATAGGTACCGTAAATCACTATCCAGTTGATAAGTGTTGGCAAAACAAACTACACTAACCAGTGGATAGTAATTTATACGGCGGATAGCCTTATCCAACCTTAAAACAACTGGAGCCTGTAGGAGAGTGGGCATTAAGGGAGAAGAGAAGATAAAATCATCCTAGAGAATCCTAGTAGTTAAGTCTTCGACAGAGAGATTTGCTGGTACAAGAAAAAATTCAACTACTTCTTGCGGATCATAGCACACAGAGCATCAGTTAACTACTACATGTACGTGCAATTGTGTAACAGCAGGTTACCTATCAGCATGAATAGTGTTGGTCCTCTGAACCCTAAAGATGCTAACAGAGCAAAGCAAAGAGCTGAGAAGAGTTTCCTTGTAGCTTCAGGATGCTGCCAAGTTAACAAGCTGGAATAAAACATATATCACAGGCAAAAGTTTTTCATCAGACCCAATAATATTAATCTTACGTTCTTTAAAAATGTTCTTTTAGCTTTTCATACAATCTGCAATATTTTTGCCTCAGTTTCAACATGATCAATGTTATTCACTTTTGAATGGACACTTCGCCTCATTTTAAAACACTGTAGTATTTGACAGCTAAGAAAAGACCAATTAGAAATTAATAAAAACAGGAGCTTACCGGACTTCAAGTCATCAAACTGATCAAATAACTGAATTCATACATGATAAGAAAACTACTTAGTAATACCTCTTTACTTTTTCCAGGGAGTCTGCCATTTTTCCAAGTGTATTCTGGGTGAGAAAATGAAATCAATGCAATTCTTCTAAAGAAGCTTAGTTCCAATAGTTTGCCTGCTTGTGAAAACCAGTTGTCCTCCTGCTTAAAACATTAATGAAACCTCTGTCCACTGGTATTAGCCTGCATTTGACAAAACTGACAGGGCTTGACACTAACACTTACCCACTTACCATTGGAAAGCAAATTTACTTCTTGGAAAGTCAAAAAATCAAAATTGAACCAAAATACTTACCGATGTGGGAAGTAAATTTTGGGCCACGCTGGAAAGTAACTTATATGCTAAAAGGCTTAAGTAAAAAACTTATGTATAAAAAATAATCAAATGATAAAAATAATCATCCAAAATGACCTTCTGTCTTCAAAAGGACGAGTTTACACCATTCTCACATTTACTGATCCGCCATATTAGAGTATTGATCGCGAGAGCTGCCAAGTAGGTCTGGGTAGGATAAATATAATACTGCACTCCATTTTGGAAAGTAAAATTTTGAGATAGAAAATAAAATTTGAAATCTACTTTCCAAAGTGGAAAGTGGTGCAAAAAGTTATTGTCAACCCCTAAACAAGTCGCCAGTTGCTGAAACCCAGTAACAGGACCATAAAGAAGCATTCTACAACTTTAGAACCCTTGATTGCTCTAAAGGAGCTATGAACATCAGTATCAAATATCTCATTACAATATAAAATTATAAAATAATTATTAAATGCCTTACTGTCGTGAAGCAGAAAGGTGAGAAGAAAGAGATCATGTCTCAGGAATGTTATTGCTGGTTGTATCACTGAATTCTCTGAACATAAATAATTGAAGGAAATGTACATATCATTAAGGAGAGTGTTAGGAGAATTCAGTTTTTGCAGACTCACCTGTACTTTCCTTGCCACTTGTAAAACCAACTGGAACTTATCTGACCAACTATGATCCTCGGTAGTATTTGTCTGTTAAGGAAATAAAAGTTGGGCACCAAGAAAGTAATTTGGTACTAGCAAAATCGAGAGGATAGAAAAAAATATTTGATGTGATCTTCAGTTAATTCCTCTTGAATTACCTTATATTGTTTAGACAGTTGTACTAACTGACTGACTGACGGACGGACTGACTGATGGACTTACTGACTGACTGACGGATGGAGGGACGGAAGGACAGACAGACGGATGGACTGACTGACTGACTGACTGACTGACAGATGTCACAACACATCACAACAGGGTGGCCTAACGTGCGCAACATGTTGCGCCAACAATGTTGCAATTTGTTGCATTGAAATGTTGTGATCGTTTGGCCAGGGATTGCAAATGCTGGGCCAACAATGTTGCGATATGTTGCATTAAAATGTTGCATTTGTTTGGCCGGGGCTTCAAGGCTTGCATAAATATCTTGCCTAGTGTAAATCCCTAATTGCACATACATTCACAGAATTAGCTATGAAAATACAGGTTTTAACATTATTTTCAGTTCTCACTATTAACTTTGTATTTACACTTATATTAAATATATAATTTGTGACACTTGTTGAAAACGTGTACCTCTTCTTTTGTTTTGTCTATAAATCCCAGCTGCTTTGCTATGCCTCTGAAGAAGAAAGCAAAACAAGGAAAATGAGAAAAAACCGTCTTAGTTGAATAATTTCAATGAGGAAGCTAACTCAATCAAGCAGTTCTATTAAATTGTTCTTAAAGTCCATCCATTGACTAAATGAATGGACACTAACCTATATAACTACCTAGCTATCTATCACCAACCCCCTCCCCCCCCACTGGCTGCTAATGCAAATCACTTTTTGTCATCATTGATTCCTTCACTCCTTATGGAGAATGTAAGACCATTTATCTTCCTCCTCCAAGACAAACTGTCTATGGCTGACAGATCAGCTAAGACACTGCAGGCTTTTACAAACTATATTCGCAAAAGGGATATAACTTGCTTAATGGACACCGGCTGTAAGGGCTGCATCCTATGCTGCACATAATGCCCTTCAAGTCATTTATTTTTTAATTTGTATTAATATTAGTATTAGTATGGTTTTTTTTAGCAGTGTCCCCTAGTTAGTATGGTGTATTATTTCCAGGCTATAAAGTTTTTGACACTTTAATAAAGTTCTCACTCACTCACTCACGCACTCACCCTGTCTCTGGGTGCAATACCTCTGCCTCCCTACATACCAAAAGATCTAAAATCTGTGGTACAGGTCTCTCTTTATTTAAATAAAATATGCTTCTCCCCCAAGTCTCCCTAGGTCATCTCCTTCTGCACTTGCCTTCAGGTGCCCATGTTAGTGCAATCTTAGGATTTTTGTCCAGCGATTATTCTATCCACCTACCCATTAATCCATCCACCCATGCACATGGCATGGTCATACAAATTAAGTACCTAACAGACCATGTTTGATATATTTATTATTAAAATGTTCTAACATGGCTCTGAGGCTTTCAGGACAAAAATTTGCAACTTCTTTTAAGTTTCTCTTGTCCCTCAATTCCCAAAAGGGACTTGGATACAAAGAAAGCACCACCAAATATACAAGTTTGTCCCGAAAGCCTCAGAGTCATGTTAGAATATTGATATGGCAAACATGACACTTACTTTGCATGAAGATAATTCATAAACAGCTTCCAAATCATGACGATAAGAATCAAAAATAATAGATAGCCATGCCAAGCACAGTACATGTACACCTACAAAATAGACAAAAATGTTTACTTACATTAATCACTGTTAAAGAAACTACCTCATGCTATCTGTGAGCAATTGGGCATGCACAAAATACCTTCAAATCAAGAAATAACCTGAAATTATACATTTATGAAAGACAACCCAAAAAAATCATATTAAAGCATAAAGGAACAAGATTGAGACAGATTAAAATTGAAAAACTTGAAAACTTCGGCAGAATTTGTCAAGATGTACCTTCCATAACAAAGCTCCTTAAGAGAAGAGCAAGTATTCAAGTACTGTACTGAAAATGTTCCTCATAGCAATAAACATTGTAAATGACTAACCAAAAATATCAAGAAAGATGCTGTTGGATTGTACCAGGTGAAAACCCTTCGAACAGACTTGATAAAACCAGTTATTGGCTTAATGCCTGCACCTACAGAGAAAGAGAAGAAGTTGTTACGTAGTAGTCTTTAAATAGGATGTAAATAATGCTTTTAAGGGGCCACTTACTGAATCGGTTGATGTTTTCCTTCAACCTGCAAAAAAGGAAATGTAAGCTACATGTATCAGAGGGATCAGCTAATGGATAAGCTATCAACATTATTTTGATGGAAATTGTTTTAAAATAATTTTTTGAACAAAACGTTCCCAAGGATTAGGGTCAAAAGTTACAATTATAATAATTATTATTTAGTTAGTCAAAATAATGTTAACAGTTAAACTGTTAGTAGTTATATTGCAAATAAGGGCCAGATTATTCACTAAATTTTACCTCTAAGATTTATTCCTATTAATTATTTTAATTCTTGGACAATACTTTGTTGTTTATTAGTTAGCACTAAAAATAAATGTGAGTTTGATGGAAATATCCTCGGGTTGATATTTACAGTTTATTTATACTAACTTACGTTTTCACAGCCAAAGGTTCTCCTTCTCCATCCTCCTCCTCAGTAGCTTCAGGCTCATCATTAACAAAGTCCCACAGTCTGTCCACAAGCTTAAAAAAAATAAAAAAAAGTTAAGTTTGTAAGGGAAGTGTAATATTTATCACAGGAAAAAGAGGTGGAGATGAGAGAAAAACACAGATAGAGGGAAGAAGGGAAACAAGGAACATCATGTGTGGAAGAAATCAAGGAAGGAAGCTAGGTTATGAGAGACGAAGGTGGAATAAAGGGAGGGAGAAAGGAAGCATTGAAGAAGGATGTTATAAATGGAAGTACAGAGTAGGGAACAGGGGGAGAAATTAGGTTAAGTTGGTAAAGAAGGAAGGAAGAATGGACAAATGGACTGATGGACTGATAGTCTGATGCCTGACCAAAATACAAACAGCCTGACAGACCGACAGATGGAAGGAAGGAAGGAATGAAGGGAAGGAATTGAAAGGAAGGGAAGGAGGGAGGGAAAGAAGGATAATGAAAGTAAATGAAAAAATTGGCCGGAAGGGAGAGCAGGAGGAAATTAAAGAAGGATAAACTTGACGGAAGTATTTTCCACAAACCATATCTACTGCTTGCACTTTCCACATTTCCAGCTTTGTTTTGACTCTCTGTACTCTGTTACTTTCTTCTTCACCACCTTTAAAACGTTATTTAATTACATATTATTACAAAGTTATTTATTACATATTTAAGATTCTGTAATTTTCCATAAACCGTAAGCAAGTGTGAAATCACCTAAATTGAGCCACAAGTAGTGGGAACTACATACACTTCAAACATATTCCTTCATAGATGACCAGAAGACCTGGGTCTGTAGGTAGTCCAGTTCTGGTTCTCTCTCTCTCTCTCTGTCTCTCTAGCCCAATAGCATAACATTGCATGACAAAGAGAGGGCCAGAACTCAGGACTACAGGAGACAGGGAAATTTGGTATTAATATATCTAGGGTACTCAGGAATGAGGGAGGTTGGTAGGTATTCTGCTCGTTAATGTAAGATCACTTTGATTACCTTTCATTAACATTTATGGCATTACATGATTGATCAAATTTTGATTCTGCATCACTTTCAGAGCTCAAGCATGCATTGTCTACTGTAATCTATTGTTCCAATGTGCAGTTCTGAATTGTTATTTACCAGATCTAGAAGGTGCCTGTTCTTCTGTTTGTCCAGAATGAGACCCATCCAGGACGTCAGTAGAGCTTTCCTCGTGTTCTGGAGTGTAAGCTCCCGGTCCATTGTAATTACCATTTGTGTCATGTGATGAAGCTGGTGATGAATGTAACTCTTCCTGATCTCTTCCAAGATCTACCCAGTCATCCCTCCCTCTATCTGAACTGTCTGCTACCATACCATGTCTAGGGTCCATTCTACTTGCATTTTTTCTTAAAAATTGATGTTAGATATAACAGAATGCATATAAAGCCGAGACAGGTGAAGAGGCATTACTATAAACTAACATTATTTCCAAGTTTATTATTTATCTCCTCAAGGAACCTTGAGGATCTGGATCATGTAGAGTACATACTAAAGGCATCTGCAGTCAAGTGTTGATCAATACCGTGGATCAACATCTCAATCAAGATCAAGACCATCAATACTTGTCAACACTCAATCAACATCTTGGTCGACAGTCAATCAGACACGCCATCAAGTGCTGATCAATACAAATGGGTTGGTCGACACTCTGCCAACTATCGACTGACCAGTTGTCAATCGAGTATTGATTGATATCAATCGAGATGTTGATTGAGTGTTGATCTAGTGCCAACCAAAGAAGAGCCAATCAAGAGCCAATCAAGTATCTATCAAGATGTTGACCAAGTATCAATCTAGATGTTGACCGAGTATCAATTTAGATGTCGATCGAGTGTCAGGTGAGAAGTCAATGGATTGTCAATCAAGGATCGATTGAAGGCATCAATCCAGACTCAACCACGGATGCCTTTAGTACATATGATCTGAGGGTCCTTGAAAGATTTTCACCAGGGTTTACAATCCACCAGTAGCTTTGTTCTGGCATTCTCACAGCAAATTAGCTCATGTCATTTAGCAAGACTTCTCTTGATTTGCTGCAATGTTTATGTTTTTAGTGAATCTTTATAGGCTTCAACATAGTACATGTACATGTAGACATTATGTTTTAAGGTTATTTTCAAGTATCATTTGCAGGGCTCGACACTAACTTTTCAACTTACTAGCCTAGTGGCTAGTGATAACTTAGACGTTACTAGCCAAAACCTTCTTTTACTAGCCAAGCATTGTGGTTGGCTACCTTATTACATGAAATGTTTGCAACACGTTTATTTTGCAATTTGGGGGTGCGCATATTTCCCGACACTTAAATTCAGTGATTTTGCAAAAAAATTGTATTTTGAATCACTTTAACTTCGCGCTTTTGAGTACAATGAAACCCCGCCATATGGCCACCCCGTTAATATAACCACCTCTTTATTGCAGCCACTTTATTCTGGCCCAAAAAAAAACGCTCAGTCAGTAATTTTCCTATTTAAAGAACCCCTTTAATATGACCACCCCATTAATACGACCAATTTTCCATGGCCCGAAGGTGGTCATATTAACGGGGTTCCACTGTAATACAAAATTTATTTCCTTGGCATTGTTACTTAAACATGTCTTTGAATTCAGTAAACTGACTCTATCGTACAATAACTTCAAAAATAACAAAAACACAGTGGCGGTATTATATGTCAACAGTGACATAATATGGTATGTTCCCGATACTTACTTATTCGATACTTACTTATTCCCGAAAAGACTTTCAGGACTCTGTTTTTTTCTGAGACTTCTTGGAAAAATATCAAGACCCCCAGGATGTCACTGTAAAAACTGTCGAGACTTCTTTACAGACAGGCACCGTAGAAATGTTTCAAAACCAAAACAACTATTTGAACAATACTATAAAATGTTGTTGGCAAAATTCAAATGCTAAAAATGGCTGGTTTAAATGTTGAAGGACATAAACCTTTCTCATCAAATTATTTCTGTAGTGGTAAGTTTGTAAGTATGCATACAACAACAAATCACCCATGTATTGTTACACTAAATGAAATGTTATCCCTTTACAGTTCTGCATTATTTTGCACATGAAAAAAATTTCATAACAAAAAAGAGCATTGATGTGTGCTTTCAGAAAATGCTGTCTTGTTTGTCAAATGTTTCCTTCAACAAAAGTAACATTTTCAGTTCCCTGTTTACGTACCACCCAGTGAAAAGTAAACAAATTTAAATTTGTATACATGTATGTGCTGAACAGCACATGCCCGGTACCATGATATGTCCACAGTGAAGTTCTCACCTACATGTAGTTTCTGAGAAAAGTGTAAATTTTGTGTTTGTCTTCCTTGAAGGAGACAGAAACTAGTTCAGCCAATTTCATTTTGTTGACTAGCCAAAGTGGCTTGTGGAAATCAACAACCTACTAGCCAAAACTAAATTTCTACTAGTCTGTGGCTAGTTGGCTACTGTTAGTGTCAAGCCCTGATCCGAAAATGTCCAGTTTTCAATTGTTTATCAATTACTTAATACTGACATTGAACATTTAAGTGTGGTAAGTTAGATGATCATCCTTTTCTGGACTTAATATATAACAAGTTAATGATTTATTAATAACAATTATTGTTAATAGTTAAACTGATATACCTTTGAAGCTTTGAGCTTGACGACTTCTGCTTATGTTTTAGCTTTTCTTTTAGTTCATGATTTCTTGCCTTTTCCTCATGGAGTTCTTTTTGAAGTTTATCGACATCAACGGCCTTCAGCTTTTCCAGCTTCACACCTAAAAATGTGCAAATATCAACCCTAGAGATTGGTGTACACTGATGATTTGTGTCTGTTGGTCTTGCACCCAATATCAGCAATATCCTTGTTTGTTACATGGCTTCTGTTTACAGCAGATATCAGCCATGCTCTGATTGGCTAATTCTAGGACATTATTCTCACGTAATGCCCGTCGGCCTTTACAGGCATGCAAAAACAAGGCAAGAGGCCATATAATAAACAATTTAATAACCTCAAACATTTGGTCTTTACAAGAAAATCTCAAACCTCGGCCTTGCCATAATGACCTCGCTATCACTCAGTTTAAGATTTTCCTGTAAAGACCTCACACTAGGTTAATAAGTAATATTTAATCTCTTTTGACCTTTGGTCTTTTTCAAGCTTGACTTCACTGAAAATGTTTAAGGTCTGCACACACGAGGGGACTAGTCGCAACAAGTCACAGGGACAAGTCCCAGCATGTGAACTAGCCATTTTGCCACAAAATCTAGTCGCAGGGACTAAAATTTGGTCCTTGCGACTAGTCCCACAAATTCAAACTGGTTTGAATTTTTGGGACAAGTCCCTCTGACTTGGTCCTCAAAATGCTTTGTGTGAACTGTTCATGGGACAGGACCCTGCAACCAATCCCTTTATGTAAAGTCTTCAGGGGACTAGTTACAGGGACTAATCCCCTTGTGTGTGCAGACCTTTAAATGCCAGTAAATTGGTTTATATCAGAAATACTTTCCAAGCTAATAAAAAAAAAAAAATTGGAATAAAAATACAAATAAATTAACCATTCAAGTAGAACTACGCAAAATTTGGGAGCAACTGCATAATACCCTGCCACTGTTGCTCTCAATCCATTTGCATTGCACACATATTTTTAAAGAACGAGAAATGAACATGAATGAATTTAACTCAAGTGGCAGGGTTTTCTGCATTTAACATTTTTCCAAAAAATGTAACAACTTGGGCAAGCAGAGTGCGTTTACCCAGAAATTCCAAATAAAACCCTCCCACCTCCCCATAACGCCTTCCTCACAGCCCCTCCTGGGACCCGGATGGTTAAAACTTACTCATTTCTTGGTTGTCTATCATTATGTTAACAAGTTGTTCTTGAAGCTGAGCAAGCTGCATTTCATAAATCTGTCTTTCAGAGCTCGAAAAACTGCCTCTCTTCGCTTTAATCTTTTGATCATGATCTGGCTTCGCGCCATTCTCCGGCGACAAAGACTTTGACATGCTTTCTTCTCCATTGACACTTTCTTTATCAGAGCTGCTACTTTGGGCGGATTCCAGAAATTCGTGATTAAAATCTACGGTTAATTCCCCGTCGACTGTACTGTAACCAACGCTTTCTTCGCTCAATGCGTTTGAATTTTCATGATCATTCTTGTTAGCATCCCCAGCGTGGCCTTCCCCATCGCGGTGAAAGAAAAAGTGTGATTTTCCGTGCGCACTTTTCCCATGTTTTTCGTCTTTAGCAGAAGAATCAGCAGGTTGTTTTCCACGAAAAGCAGAACGAAGCATGTTGGACGACAGCTACTCAATTAGTTCCCTACACTTTCAAGTTTACGTCATGCCTATTTATCCAATTTGTTTTGTTCCAGGTGAAGTCCTTCCACTCCACGGACAGTAATCGAGAGTCCCGGCCAGGGTGAAGCGAGTCGTCGATGCATTTATATTTCGTCTTAGTTATAATTTTCCTTCGTTATCTCCTCTGTGTATCAAGAATAAAATCTCTAAAATTCATTTCTCTTTGTGTGGAAGTAATTTATAAAATTATGATGGTGATTCGGTTTTTTTTTTTTTTTTAAATCTCAGCCTCCCCACCCCTATAATGAAATATATCCCATAATGCACCAAAGTCACATCAGACCGCCATGTTTACATCCTGGCGATTCAAATCAAACTTTGATGTAAATCGCGACTTCAGCGTAACTTGATAAGTGAATCGACCACGTTTCTAGAACCGAAAACTCCTTCTGTCATTCTTGCTATACAACTAGGAATGTCTCGAACCTCAACAGTGATGAAATGAGTGAAAGAGGCGTGGATAAACGAGGTGAAGAATTGAAAGGGGTTTTTAAGGTTCAAGGGAAAACATACGATGTCTTTCTCGACAGGAGTGAAATCGTTTGGACACTACAAGGCGAGTTAAATACAGGTATACACTAAGCATGCTTAACACCTTGGCTTATTTGTGAAAAGGTCGCCGAATTGGTTCAAATCGTTGTTTAGTAAGTAAGACAACGCAAAAATTGAAGTTAAGTAATAAGGGAACTGTAAACTTTTAAGTTAGCGGTACGATCCCTTAAGGTGTAATCTTATAATTTCCATCTTGTTTTCTGTAGTTGCAACGGTGAAACAATGGTTTGAACAGATCAGAAGTGCTCCTGTCAGGGAGACTTCTTTATTGACTGCATGCACTATGAAAACAAGATAAGCTTAAAATACAGAAAACAGCTGTTCCAGTGGGTTTAATATTTATGGGAAAAGGCACTTAATAAAGGAAAAAACATGAAAGTGAAGTATGATCATCGCAGTAAATTTTCCAATTTAAGCAACTGGAAAGAAGAAGCCTGAAAAAAATCAGGGCTTCAACGGGATTCGAACCCGTGACCTCCGCGATACCGGT